CACAGCCCTTAGGGATGTCATACAATGGTGACATATTATACAAATGTCCTTGCTTTTAACACATGAGGCCACATCTGCCCTGCTTAGTACCCAGAAGATACTGTGTAAACATCACAGTTCTACTCACAAAAGCCAACCAAAATGAAAGTATTTAGACAAAGGAATTCACCCAACTCCTAAACATTGCACAGATACCTCAGCGAGTCCTTCCTAAAATAAGAAGAGACTGCAGATCAGTCTGATGACTTACACTCACCCTCTCTCAAGGTTTTCTTCATGGGGAGTGTAAAGTCTGTGCAAATGTAATTCCAGTGTGTGATGCTAAAAACAATAAATAACCAATACAATAGGAGAAGCAAGAATTTGCTGATGAAAGTTCAATTTAAAGACGACTACAGGTTTAGTCACCCAAACAGCATGTTTTTTAGAAGTCCTGTTCCTCTTTTCATAGCAAGCAGAAACTGAAAGGGAAAGGTCATATATTTTGTGCATATCTGAGAAATTACGCTGTTTATATGATGACGGCAAGAGATTTTTCTAGCTTTCCTTCTTAAGATGTATTTGCTCAAGTGGGAGTCAGAAACTTTGCAAGACAACATTGTTTTGAAAAACATGGAAAGAACATCCATATGGATACACAAGGGTATAAACTGACGTAAGTACGAAGCAGCCCCCTAACTGATCAAGGTTAAAGAAAAACTAGCAAAGTGACACACACATCCTTCCAGTCTGCAATATTTTGACTTAAGTCTTCATTCACAATTGCTCTCTAATGCATGTTGTTTCATGATTTGCCCCCACAACCCTCATTCTACCCAAATGAGATCACTCACACTCTAGCTTCATGTGCCACCTCTTTCACTTGCTCATCTAATGTAGGAGCCTAGCAGGAACCAACCTATGTGCTTTGTTCATCTGGAATTGCTCAAACTGTGCCTTTCACCAAAAACATGTAAAATTTAGCAGTTTTATCACAGTGCTTATATGCATGGCACATTCAGACATCCCCAGAGGTTCCTTGAACATGTGTTGTCAACAAGCAGAGCTAGGACCAAAAGCACACAGGAGGCTCAAATCAAGACACAGAAGCACATATCCATGAGTAAGGGTAACACTGCTTAAATTCATATACAGACAGATGGTTTTCCATTATAGTTTGGAGCCCCTGAGTAGAGAGCCTGGCTGCAGTTTTTGCTGTGCTTCAAAAAATGGACTAAGGGCAAGGTGTCTAGAGGCCACATCGAGGTCATTTGTCAAACCCTGACCTTGCTTCCAGCAATCAAACTGCACCCACCCGGTGTGAAGGCTCTTCGCATCCTTCCTTAGGATGAAGAGGGTGACACAAATCCATCTCCTCTTCTCCACTTGGAAAAGGAAATCTCCAGCTTTCACAGGGAACACATTCCTGCCCACAACAGCCGAACTTATGCATACAGTTGATCTCCTGGTTTTGTTATGAGTTTATCAAAATAGGAAATTGTTCTTTCAAGTTACAAGAGTAAAAAGATACTTCACTGCAGGATATTAGAAACTTTGGTCGTGTTACATGAATTTCAAATAATAATGATTCAAAGGCAAAGACAGGTTTTGTTTTTCTCTAAACTTTTCCAGACTGAAAACGCAACTTTATAAGACATTATAATCTCCTCCAATACAGAGGAGAAGTACTATAAATATTTTCTGCCCCTTGACTGTTCTTTGCTATTTTCTTCAGCTGTAAAGCAGCCTGGATATCTGCCAAACTTTCTGGTGTGCAGGAATAGCATGCCCTGCACCCAAGAAGAAATGACAGGTTTTTACAATTCTCTGCACAGCACAAGCCTTTCTTCAGAATTCTCAGAATTACATTCATTTACAGCTTAATAACTCAATACTCAACAAAAGTCACTGTATAATCATATACATACACTCTACCAGCAAGAAAAAAAAAAAAAAAATCTACATTTATAGTCAAATCACAATTTCCCTCCTCGTTCTTTATAAGAAAAAAAAAAATCAAACAGAATTTTGAACACATAAAGGAAGGAAATTCTTCCATTTACCACCTGTTACGCTTTAAATAATCCATTGTTTAGTAATGATGGCAATAGATATGCCGTCTCTTAGCAAAAAAAGCCAAGCCTCATTATAAATCAAAGCATAATGCCTTTTGGACATTTAAGGCTCACAGGACGAAGTAAAACAAAATCTGTTCTCATTTATGAATTTTACACTCGCACTGTGAATCGTGCAAGTGTATGACTATTTCTTTTGCACAAAACCCAAAGCTGTATTTGTATATTTTTAATTATAAACTCAGTTTCTTCTCCAGCAAAGAACAATCAGATCTTAATGAAAATATCTCAGTACTGAGGAGGAAGCAGTCTGTAGGCATTACCCTTGTTTTCAAGGAGTGAGGAGCAATTCCCTTGAATTCTATGGACTGCTAGGAAAAAAAACACAAGCGAATCCAGAAATGGCCATATTCCCAAGAAACAGAACATGAGAGATTACTACCACTGTCACCCAGCTGCCTTTCACACCATAATCTGTGTTCCTCAACTGTCAGAAAGATGCCCCCCTCCTTTTGCTGTTATCAAGAGTTTCTTAAAAAAAAAAAAATCTATACAAACCAACCAGCTTTCATTTCCTTGTAGTGACTGACAAAGTGAAACAGACAAAGCTGTGGCTTTTAGGCTTTCCCCGGTACGTAAACATAGCAGAAAACGGTCTGTTCAGTTTCTAGATGAAGCAATTGTAGTTTCCCAACCTGAGCAGCGATCACCATGTTTTGACAGTTATTGCTACAGAGGCTGGGTTAGTCACGTTGACCTAGCCAAAACTGCATCAGCCCAGTGACACTCCTACTACGGCCTCCAAAAAAGGCCAGTTAACTCCTTCAGGGTCAGTGGTTATTGCTCCTGAGCTGGCTACACTTTTGCTGCTACCTATCATCAGGCTTTGGTGTACAGCCTTCTGTGGTCTGGGGGAGTGTGAAGACGGCTATAGGCTGACCATGCTGGCACGTCCAGCAGTCAGGCACGCTCTTATCCCCTCCACTCACGCTTGCTTGAAAGATGCGCTGCATAAGCAAATGTTATTTCACAGCTCTGTGGCTTTGGAGGCAGTGATGCTCAGGGCACTCTGCGCCGTTAACCCACAGCGCAGAACCAAGGGTCCTCTCATTTTCACAATCAGAGAGCTTCCCAGATTAGTATTTAGGAATGCATCTTTTCCCTCTCTGAATTCTCAGTGAAGCAATACATGGACTTGCCAGGACCTGCTGCTCTCTGGATAATAAACATACAAAGTCTTCTTTGCAGCAAGTCTATTATTGTTTCAGTAACAACTAGCAGTGCATGCTTTCTCCCTGTGGTACAGCAGCTAATCCTCTTTGAGCTCTCTTGCTTCTGCTAGTCGTCAGCATCAAAATTTATACTGGCTTCACAGTGTGCTGAACTTAGGAGGGGGAAAAAAAGGTATCATGAGTACTGTGAGTAGTGTGTTCAGACACAGAAAAAAATGTACAGAGGAGTCCTGGATGTCTTGTGTAGCTGTCAAATTCATTTTGCAAGTACAGATTTGCCATCTAAGATCCCATATCTAATGTGATTCACACACTGTATGTTAAGCCACAGAGCCACATGGCAATGTTCACCATTGATGAAGTAGCCTTGATAAACAGGTCATGAATGCATGAGGTTTCATTATTTTTCCCTTTTCATTGAGAACTAAAAAGCCTCATGGAACAGAAGTCTCCCTTCAGCTGTCCCATAAAGACAGTTCTCCTGGGTTTGAAAGTACCTTGCATGTTTCCAATAGCCAGCATTCTCGCTTTTCTGCTTCCACCCCTTTACATCACAAGACAGATTTAGGATGGGCACACATCTTGTTTACATAAAGTGTAATCCATGCAAATCTGGGTACAAAGCATTTGGCTATGACCGGCACTTACAATCATGTACTTGAAATTTATGAACTAGCATCCTTTGAAATGCAGAGATTTAAAGTCCCCCCAGCGAACAGCACTAGGTTCCCAAGAGCTGATCCTCACTGCCCTAAACATGACAGTTTTTCCTAGTTTAAGCTGTGCTCCAGGGTTCCAGTCCCATTTGATATCTTGCCAGCAGCCTCTCCAAAACATGGCAAAACAGCAGTCCAAGTTTTCAAGTACATTATGCTACTAAATTAATAACTGAAAAATAAGATTGATTTCACATCTCAAACTCCCTTACAGATATCCATGATGCCTGCTTAGTTTGTCTTCTGCTATACTTGAAATCTTGAGGCTTTTTCTCCATGACTGACTGAATTTTTTTTTAATGCAATCCAAGTAAATTTGAGTATCTTCTTAGCATTTGTGGTTCAGTGTAAAAGCTGTATTTGTCTCTTGGTGATGACTGTCAAGCGAAATGTCTTGTCACAATATAAGTTCTGAAATACAGACACTTCTCTGAATCACTGCTTCTGAATTTAAGACAAGTGTAAATGAAAAAGCACCTTTTTTTAGAGTTTTTACCCAATCTCTTACTGGATTGGGTAAGATGCTTCTTGCCAGCTGGATCCTGCACTACAAAATCTTTAGTAGTATTTAGCTTAACTTTGGCAGTCACTCTCCTGGGGAGGAAAAAGCAGGGAAGAGAAGGAAAACCCAAGATTCCACTGGAAAGTTTCCCTA